CTGTGGGAAACTTCGATGGGGCAACAAACTGTCAAGGACTGCAAAGAGAGTGTCGGGGCCAGAGCATGGACTGCAACTACACAACTCTAGCATCAGCGAAGCACGAGCAACTCACAATATCCGTGCAATATCCGCAAACATCGGTCAACAATACATACCAGACATGAACACATGGAGGTATGACTCATGACTACTCAGGTATGCATTACTAACCGATTTGTCATTAGCTATTTTTCATATCATATATAAAAGGATGAAAGCACATCAATCAAAGCCATGCCTGAGTCCATTGTTCCCAAATTGAATCTCTGGCCTCTTCTTTCTGAACATGCAGAGGAATCATTTTCTTCTTCCACTCCTCTTCGACCTTCAATACTGCGCTCTATGGGACACTCCAAGGCCTTGAATTCAAGTCATTATGAAAATGAAATTGTTTGTTTGATTGTCTTGTTACATGAATTGAAGGATGGATGGACGGATGGAGGTACTTAAAACCACAGTCCAACAGTTCTGCTAATCCTGTTGTCAGTTCGTTGGCTAGCTCTTCCCTTTTCCAGTCCAAATGGAGGTTTCCTAAAGTGGTGGTACCACTAAATCATCCATTTTAATAGGATTTTCCATTGTAAACCATCCATTTTGGGGAGCCCGCATTTGTGAAAACCCCCAAATGAATCCAAATGAGTCTAAAGGGCTTCGGCTTTATTTTGTGAGACGCTTTGCATATTTCATAGCTGTCTGATTTCAGCCCATCCACTGCATTGAATTTGAAGGGAATATTTACGGATGTACACTGAAGTTGGTTTTGGTATAGTATTGTAAGGCAGGATGGCTTTGGGTGTGCTAACTAAAATTCTTTCATGTTCTCAATTCTGTTACATGCATGTAAACTATATACTATAGACACTGATTGGATGCTCACAGATCAATGGATTCCATTTGTCATCGATTGCGTAGGTCTGCCACTAGCTTCCAGCCCTGTTTGATGTTCCTCTGAAATCGGTCCAGCGGTGCAACATTTAAGTGCACACCTCCTGGACCTTTTCGAGCCACTTCTCCATCTCCTTTCTGACGTTTTCTTTCTCCTTCGGGAAACTCACGCCTGCACAGCCTAAAAAACCTGTACTGCCTGCACCGCCTGTACAAGTACAAACACGGTCGCAATGGAAGTTGGAACTACAGCACATTGCTGCAGAATTGTTCCAGTCCTCTGCATTGTCCAAGGCCATCTTCCTACGCTTACAGGGAGAGAGAGAGAGGAAGAGAGATTTCAGAAAAAAATGTCAATCTAGTTGCACATTCAAGCGAAGCTTGAGAGAGAGGGACAGGGAGAGGGAACAAAAATACAGTTCCCTCATGCCTTTTTCTTCTGCGCATACTACAAACAAGTACCAGGTAGTGCCCGGCATGCGCAGGGACGGAAGTTTCGAAAAAGGGAAATGACTATAGGAAAAGGGCTGCTTATAGGAACTGTGTGTGTGTGCTGGAAAGCGATGAGATGAAGTTTGCAACGAACGAAAACGCGATGAAATGAAATGCACTGGAATGCATGAATGCATGAATGAATGAATGAATGAATGAAAGAATGAATGAATGAATGAATGAATGAAAGAATGACAGAATGAATGAAAGAATGAAAGAATGAAAGAATGACAGAATGAAAGAATGCATGAATGAAAGAATGAAAGAATGAAAGAATGACAGAATGAAAGAATGACAGAATGACAGAATGAAAGAATGACAGAATGACAGAATGAAAGAATGAAAGAATGAAAGAATGAAAGAATGAAAGAATGAAAGAATGAAAGAATGAATGAATGAATGAATGAAAGAATGAATGAATGAATGAATGAAAGAATGACAGAATGAATGAAAGAATGAAAGAATGACAGAATGACAGAATGAAAGAATGCATGAATGAAAGAATGAAAGAATGAAAGAATGAAAGAATGACAGAATGACAGAATGAAAGAATGACAGAATGACAGAATGAAAGAATGAAAGAATGAAAGAATGAAAGAATGAAAGAATGAAAGAATGAAAGAATGAAAGAATGAAAGAATGAAAGAATGAATGAATGAATGAATGGATGAATGAATGAATGAATGAATGCACGCATGCATGCATACATGGATGGATAGAATGAATGGAACAAATGGAACGAATGGAACGAATGGAATGAAGGCAATGAATGCTGTACTGTATCCACCAGACGATAATTCATCCTATGGCACTACAATTTCCTATTGGTTACCATGAAAAAATCAAAGTGTCTATAAAACATTCCAGAGCTGATCTTGGACTCTGGCGCTGTCACCTCGCGACTTCTTTTCAACTCCCGCTTCCGAACGGCCAAGAATCAGCCGCATAGCGGTATCTATCTATCTATCTATCCATCCATCCATCCATCCATCCATCCATCCATCCATCCATCTATCTATCTATCTATCTAATCTATCTAATCTATCTAATCTATCTAATCTATCTAATCTATCTAATCTACCTAATCTACCTAATCTATCTAATCTATCTAATCTATCTAATCCATCTAATCCATCTAATCCATCTAATCTATCTAATCTATCTAATCTATCTAATCTATCTAATCTATCTAATCTATCTAATCTATCTATCTCTATCTATCTATCCATCCATCTATCTAACTAACTAACTAACTATCTATCTACCTACCTACCTACGGCGACGGAAGTCCACAACGGCACCCGCAACCTCCAGCTGCCAGCCCGCTTACCAGGAGCGTTGCGACATCACTCATGTTTTGGTGCGCACAGCCGTGCCAGTGCGTTTCTCACAGCCGATTGCAAGCCCGCATGGCAGGAGGGACGCACCAAATCGAGCAACATTCCGTCACCATCAACAACGCGGACTTTTTTAAGCTGCTCCGAACGCCTCAGTTTTTAACGATTCTTTATGTGAAACCGAGCTCCTGCCACAGTCGGGTGCACTTTTTGCCGACCTCATCTTCCGAAAGCGCCCCGGCATCGTCAGCCTTTTAAGAGTTTGAAGTGCAAAGCGAGCGAGCTCTCGCTACAGTCCTGTGCGCTTTTTGTCGACAACTTTTGCAGATCGAGCCCCAACCCCGCGGAAACAGAGACCCTACTTCGGCGACCACGGAAGCCACTTTACCCGAACAAACACAAGGTTTTGCGCCTGAGAGTGTTTTCACCCGTGAAGTCACGCGTTCCCAAACTGTCCCTCTTCTCTACTATACTCTCACACGGGAACTGCTCTTGCTCATACTGACATGATGATGACATGATGATGATCATGACATGATGAACATAATGACAAGGCTGCCCCTGGACATTTGTCCGTAACTCGGAAGTTTTCGAAGTAACTTCCTTTGATAAACCAAAGAAAGCTGCAAATGTGCCAGGAGCATTTCTGAAATCATGCAATACAAAACTCCTCTCTCACAGTGCCGGTAGACCCCCTTAGAGTACCCCTCAAGAGCGCCCCTTGGAGCACCTAAGTTGCTTGTCTTTCGTGATGAGTTGCGCTTGGTATTCTTCCTGCGCGCAAGAATATCACAGAACATGTCTTCAAATTTCCTCCGAATGGTTCTAGCTTGCTGAGAGGACATCTGCTTAGGATCTGTGCCTCGATTTCATCTCGGGCAATGCAAATCCTCTCATAAGCCCGCTTCCAAACATCGATGGTGTCAACGAGTTCCTCCGGCCCGTCCAGGCGAATGCGGGAAAAAAGATTCAAATTCACATGAAAGGGTACGGAACCCTTTGGAATTCTTGCATATTCTAGCGCCGTTGAATCGGCGAAAACGCTTGGATATGTCTTCCGAGTTCTGAAGCTATTAGATGCTCTGACCAAAGCTGCCTCACGGTCTGTGAATCGCATTGCTTCGACCAGCTGCTCCAACTGCTCTATTCGAGCCTGCCCGGAACAAATCTTAAGCTATGCAAACAGAACATACTGAACATGCATGGCAACAGCACATGCACATGCTACACTGGCGGTAGACATGAAACTGAACTCCAAATCCGTGTTTTGCATTGCCATGCTAACCTGCTTGTCCGGTAATCACACGGATCAACCTATAGTACTCTGCACATGGCGACTTCAAGTGCAAGTCGGTGAAGAGAAACTCTGGATGCCCAGAATATCCGAAAAACATCGAAAATCCCTGCGAGCTACCGTGCCATCGTGAAGAGGTACCATGCCGTCCATGGTTAAGTGACATGAAGGATAGCTCTGATACATCGGGGCAAGGTCCAGGAAACTGTTGGAGTGTCGGTGGTTGTAGTGGTGCTGGTGGTGGTGGTGGTGATGGTGGTGACGGTGGTAATGATGGTGGCTGTGGTTGGTGGGGTCGGCAGCGCTGCTGCTGGTTTTGTTGTGGCTGATTCTGTTGTTCCTTTTGCTCTTGTGTTGTTGGTGTTGTTTGCGTTGCAAGGTTCTTAGTGTTCTTCGCTGTGTGGGTGGTTTTCTTGGTGTATTTATATAGTGTTTTAGCGGTGTTGGCGCTGGCACTGCTTGTGCTGCTTGTGTTTCCGGTTTTTCCTGTGTTGCCTGTGCTGCTTGTGTGCCTGTGTTTGTCCTTCTTGCTGTTGTTGTTGTTGTTGTTGTTGTTGTTCTTGTTTGTGTTCTTCTTGTTGTTTTTGTTGTTGTTGTTGTTGAACCAATCCTTCCCCATCAAGCTCCAATCCACTGAGACAGTCCATATGCCAAATGATCAAATTCATTCATTGCTGCAATTTCCACAGCTAACTACCACACTGCCCAGTCTGCTTAGTGTTCTTCCAGGCCTGGAAAGACGCGATAATCGCACGCTTCTCCTCTGTCAGCTCAATTGTAATTCGTTCCTGGCAGGAAAGCAATAGCCAACTCTGCATGGACAGAACAGAGAACAAGACGCAACAAAGGTCAGAATTGACAGAATGGGATTGATAGAAAGACAACAAATCAAGAGATGTCCGAGCTTTTCCAGCAAAGAAGGACAAACAGTACTTAGTCACACCTAGTTGAACTACAATGACCGACATTACAATCACCAGTGTGCGCCTATTTACACGGGTCCAAATTCTTCACTCACTATCAAAAGGTCCTTCTGCTCCACTTCGTTTCGAAATTGAGCTTGTAATTTGGCGTAGTCTCCAACCTCAACGTAGCCCACTCAGAAGCTCTCTAAACAGCTTCAAAATCTCTTAGGCCACAGGTTTAACGATTCCGTTCAGAAAACCGAGGAAGCTTTCAATACAGTTCTCACCCACCACCAAAAAAAAAAACAAGGCTCAAACAAGATGTAGGGAATTCTCTGCACAAATCATATATTTACATCCTGTCACCTGTCGCTTGTCTTCAGTATCAACTCACGTATTGAATGACCATAATGACACTACTTATATTGAATGACATTACTTATATAATCCATGTTGTCTTATAAAATAATTGAATAGTTCTGTCATAGATCTTTGGAAAATGTTTGGAACATGTAGATAGGTATAATAAAGTCATTGTTGAAATTCACATACTGCTTGGGCAAGAGAATGTTTTACTATGTTTCATTGTTGCTTTTAAGACTGGTTTTCGTACCAGCTCCTAAGTGAGACATCAACAAGGTTGTACCCTCCCTTTATTTATTTCTGCCTCCATCCAAGCAGCAATAGCATATATTACCATAAAGACTTGACAGCAGTGATTGTTGAACACATCGTTTGATTTGAATTTGCTATCTCTGCTCCTTCACTGGACCAAACAACGTGACCATTGAAACTGGAAGTCGCGCAAGGAACACATATCAGATGGCTTTCCGAACCGTTGCTGCTCAAGGTAAAAGAGAAAACCAAGTAAAATAGATGCAGCTATATGCGACTCTGTCATAAGCTCCACATAAGATCCGCACCATTTCAGCTATGCCTTGCTCTTTCTGCAAGATCAAGTCTGCCGTCTCTTTCATGTGCATGTCGATGTCGAGCTGTAGGTCTAGCATTGCGAAAAGGTACACAACACACCGCAACACTAAGCATCACTAAGCCTTCTAATGCGCGCTCTTTGTTCAACAGTTCAGCTGTGTTGAATGCTGTTTTTAGTTTTGGCTCTGCAGGAGCGCACATTCGGATGCCACGAGGCCGCTATGCCAGACGCACAAAACAGATTGGGATGCCACGTTCGGTCATCATCCATTGTAACATTGTTGTGAAGATTTGTGAAGTGGCATCACTTGACGAATACTTGGGAAGCGCGGAAGCACTCCATCATGTCTACAACACACTTTGAGCGAAAAAAGATCACTCTTGGGCACTGCTTATGTCACGTCCCTCGAATATAGTCAGAAGCACAAAAAACTGGTCCGCCATGCAAGCATGACCAAGATCACAAAAAAGGGTTCTTGCTCAGGTTGGGAGTAGGATCAAGATTTGGATTTTACCGTTTCGAACCTTGATGAAAACAGGAGCACAGAATCTGGCACAGACAACTATGCGGTTCAACAGTTGAGCTGCAACTGGAATTTTCTCTACGCGATGCTCATTTCTCAATGTAAGAAAATGGCAAACTGTTGTTTCTTCCTTGAAAGGGAGCCGGCTACTCTTGAATAATTTTTTATTCTGCGACTCTGATTGTTCATTATGATTGAAATTGTGATTTCAGACTTTCGCTCATTTGTTTGGTGCTCAATCTTATTGGCTGCTATCCTTCACAATCTTCTGAAAGTGTACAGCAACGTTGTGAGTAGACAAAATAGACCATTTTCCCATTTTCGTTCAAGAGTATAGATGGGGCTTCTACTAGATTGGATTTAAGCCAAGTAGTTGAACAGTCATGATCTGGCCTCTGATCTGCCGTTTCTGCTTTTTGATCATCTCCTTGTGCAAACCATTCAAGCAATCGTCTCAAGCACGAACCAATGAAGGTGTGGGCAAGCAATGAAGTTGAACTCACGATGTCATCTAACAGGGTGTCTCCCTCGTTTTTTGAGCCAGTATACAAGAAGCCCTAAACAAGGTTGTTCTGATCTTGAAGCTATCCCATGATTAAAAAAAAAACATGCTATGTGTCATTCTTGTCCTCTGTGCCCCATCAATGTAGGCAAGCTCTGCAGATACCCCGCAGATACCCATAGCTCATGATTGCATTTCTTCTTCGGGTTCATCTCTGCATTCTTGCAAAAGCATAGGAAGGTGTCTTTCGGACGGTATCTGTTTCCATCCGATCAACTTTGCCCTTTCAATTACAAAGAGCAAACACGCCCTGAGCAACCTAGGCCAACCCATCCTTGAGCTCATGGGTTTGTCTGGTCAGCTGCACGTTCTCTTCCTGCGCTCTGCAGAATCCCGCATCTAAGCTGGAGTGTTGTCACTGTTGTCACTATTACATATTACACCTGGATGAAGTCATTGGGTTTCCTACAAAACTTGTAAGATTCTCTGGTTTGCCAACCAATCCATTCCATGTTGCAAAGTCCGATGTCCAGTGGTTTCTCCACATCGATTCAATTCAATCCCAAGTATATAAAATGTGTCAACGTGATCCATCCATCAGAGACTCACATTACAAATCTAGCCTAGGTTGAAGATTGCAACAGCTCACATTGAACATCTCCTGGAACCATTTGTATATGTAACCTGTGCTGGGTTGACACCACAATAACATAGCAAACAAATTGCAAGGGAGCATCCCTCCTTCTCTATTTTCCCTGTCATCACATCTTGAAAAATCATTGAACAACACAACATGTCCGGTCAAGTGGCAGAGAGAGAGAGAGAGAGTGAGAGAGTGTCAGCAGTTTCAAGTTTTTTTAATTCCAACCAAAAGGTGTAGTGCTGGATCAACTTTGCCATATTCTGTTCACGAAAGAAAAATAGGCAAACGCAAATAGGCTAATAGGCAGCACTGTTGTACAGCACTCTTCTAGATGCGGAAACGCAGGCTCGTGAATGCAGCCTGTTTCAACATGTGATTGCGTGAGTTTATTGTGATGGGATCACTTGATGTAGGCCCTGTCCGCGTCATGGCATTCAGGTTACGAATGGTTGCTGAATCTGCCGGCCTGCCGGCATGTCTGATTGAAAGGCGTTGTTCTTGTTTCTGTTTTTGGTTTGTACTTGCTCCTTTGTTCTCTTGCTGCGCGTTTTTGCTTTCTCTGAATCGAGGTCACCCCCCCCGCCCTCCCCCCTGTACCCTAGTTTAGGGGACGTGTCTACACAATGCATGACAGTGTGCATAACATGGGACATGTTCACTTTAATTCATACATGCACCACTGCGCCACTCCGTGGCTCAAAACTTGCTCGCATAGCAGGATGAAAGAGTGTAGCGTGCCGCCGCGTTGAGCACAAGTGTTACAACGTCTAAGTTGGGATCTAGGGCCCCCTGAATACCAGGGAGTGCTACCTCAAAGTGGGGGTAGCGGAGCTTGTGCCTTGCCAAGATTCGATATTCGGACTGCAGTTGCTTCCTGCACCTGTGCCGATATCCGGACTTGCACGGGCAACTTGTAGGCCAACTTTAATAGCTGCCATGGTCTTAATCCAAAACATGGACTCGGACGAAGAACAACTCCAAATTGTTTCATATGAAGAGCCTGAAGCCTACACCGCCAGTCACGTCGATACACGACAAGGCATCAAAATGACTCCTAAGGTACCTCCACAATTTGATGGCCAATCCAGCTGGTTTGAATATGAAAACTTAATTGATGACTGGCTCGGTATCACCACATTTGCACAGACAAGCACGGACCGTCACTTAAAAATGCCCTTGTAGGAGCGGCTTCGTTTTACAAGTCGATGCTCGGCAATGCCCTACTCCGAGATCCGGATCGTGGCCTCTCTCATTTCAAGGCGATTCCTTCAGATGTTTCGCACGCACGGATCTGGATAGGGCGTTTTGAGATCGCTCAGAAGCGTCTCCTGGCACCGTGGTCCGATTTGCTTGATCTCTCCGATTTACCGGAAGTAGGCACACGCGAATTCACGGCAGCATTCACAGATGAGCAACGACTACGCTATCAACAGTTAACAAACGACGAAGATAGGATGAATTACCGGGTGACCCTTCGTGAACAGACCATTACAAATAGAAAGGCCCAACATCAAAATCAATTTCCGCTATCGGATAACTTGATGTCCTTGATTTTCCTGGTCGAAGGAAGTCTAGAAGTCAAACTTCCGGCAATATATATATATATGGACAGATGAAAAGCAGAGCAGGGACCCGCCGGGACCCAAATTGTGTTGTCCTTCCACACTTCGTGTTCAGGAACGGCGCACATATCGTCGCCCTATGCAAAGCGACCGACGAGAAGGGCAGAATCGCAGCTCACCAGAATCTGGCCAAAGATAATGCTATGTTAGGCATGATGGCAAATGCCGAAATTAGGGCTCCATCACTTGCGATCTTTGTCCGCGGTACCCATGAAGTGGGCGCCTTCATCGAACTCCTTTGTCAACACCAATGTGAGACTGAAAATAAAGAGAAGGAGAACAAATTTTGGATCCTACATGGATTTTTAGACTGGCCTACGGAAGAGTCACCTCTGGGGAAATGGTCGACCCAAGCTCTGGCACACGGACAACGATGCCAACTTCCGTTTCTCCGAACTTGGAAGCCAGCGTTAGGCCGCATCAGGCTCCGCTCGCCACCACACAAGCCGACACAATCAACAACATCTCCGAGATCGACGGCTCGTGTGACGTGGAATCGCGTGCTGTGCTCAAGCCGACATCCGGCGCAGACAATTACGATGTCCACCGGATGGGTCTTGCCGAGACCCGAGTGGCAGTGTTGCATTTATCTTCGTACACTTGATCAAATGCGTATGCTGAGCTCGTGAGCGCTGGGTCCAATTCTTGGCCAGATTTCTTGACCTGAGACGGCAATTTGTTTTCCCAGAGGAACTTCAAGAAAGATGATCACTCCGATTTCCGGAGCTGCTCAAGCGATTCCTTGGCCAAATTAATATGAACCGAGGTGCCATCAACCCAGGCTGGAGAGCTCATCAAATCCATGGAAGGCGACCGCGATGCAGAGTGCGACTCTAGGATCTTAATTAGCCTCTGTTATGGAAAGCAGACCGTGATCTGCGAAGAACGCAGCCAGCAACAATCGGCTTCAGCGTATGGCTGGGTTGGATCAGCATTTGACACTCAAATTACTTTGATTGACGTCGAGCAACCGAAACATTTGCTTAATTGCATACGACCTCGGCCTCGGTGAAACTGACGCTGCATTTCATTCACCTCTCTTGACGATCGCGAACATGCTCGTTATGAAGAACATGCGCATCCGATCTCAAGCAGCCGAAAAACAGCGAGGAGGCCGATGGCAAGAAAAGAATGTTAACTATATGCAACTGCGCCAAGAGCGCCAAGAGATCCGCCAAGAAAGGCAGGGCAGAGTTCCGCCACTTCGTGGAGATAACTTCCGACAACCGGAGTCTCCGCAGCCAAGCAGGAACAGGTCCAAGAGCCGAAATCCCAGCCGAGATCAGTCGACTCCAAGGCGACCACGGACACCTCCGCGTCCTCCACGCCGATCACCAACACCGAACCGATCGCCTTCACCCGCCCAGGGTTCAGGAGCACGCAGAGTGAATACTCCGCCTTGGCGCGAGGAACGTGGCCGGAACGATCTGAGACACCTCAGGGCCAAAGGACCCGCAGCCGCACTGGCGATGGTCAAGTCCATGGCGCGTACTGGACGAATACAGGCCGTCAGGCGCACCGTGAAACACCTCCTGTTTCAGCACCACCTGAACCACCGAGAAGACAGACAGGAGCACAATGGCTCAACTCTGGAGCATGGCAGAACTATCTGCCAACGCCTGAGAACCGAAATTGCGGTCATGGCTATTACCAGCAACCGTATTACCGATACAATCCTAGCTCAGCTTGGAGTATGCACAAGGATATCAAGTCCCTTATGAGCAATGGGTTAGGAATCAGGACGGAACTTGGCCAACTGCGCAACGCCGTCAGAATGAATTGTTCGTGTACAGCTATACCTTCAGAATGGGATACTTCCATGCAGCGGTCTGCTGTCAAGCCAGAGGCTCATACATAGTACCTGGCGCTGCTTTGCTGGGGGCAGTACTAATTTGGTATACGGTCAATAGGTTATTACAGCAAACCTTGCTACACAAGCCGCTTCCGTTTTACTGCTTTGTCTTCGTCTTCCTTTCTTATTCTCCCTATTCTTCTTCTTCTTCTCCTTCTTTTCTCTTCTGCGCTCTCGCGGGCTTCCACCTAGAATGCACATCAAACTCCCTTGGGGCCACCTCTCTATGGCCGGCGGGCTTGCCGAAGGCAATTAAATACACACAAATTCTCAAGAGCCTTATCGATTGCTCGCTCCTATGCCATGCCAAAAACATGTTTCAGTTTTCTCGTCCACAAAGTTCTACTTAAAATTGCAATACGGGACCGTGGGGCCCAAAACGGCTTCATGAGATACAGCCCGTCCTTGAGGTCTCGTGCCCTTCTCAATGCCTTGCTGCGGACAAAGCAGTGTATAATTCCTTGCGGATATCCAACGCTTTCTTTGACTCCTACAAACATCCCCGGCATCCCTGGATGGAGCCATCCTTTCATGACACCCTCCCATCACAAAAGCCTCTGCAAGCCCACCAGGACCAAGCCTTGGGAAAACATACACAGAAGTTGTGTAAAAGGTCCCAGTTGCAGTTAAAAGGGCATTGGTGGTATCCAATGGTGCCCAAGGGTATCCAATTCTGCAACAATCACAGGCAACTTAAAATTGATCCTGGGGCCCCATGCAGTTCATCGTATTTTTTCTGTAATTTGTCGAAGAGGCTAAGGAGCTTGTCATACCTGCAGTCCAAACTGCGGCCACTGGACGCATTGGTAGATCCACGTGTCCAAAATCACCATAGCCACCAGCATCGTTTCGAATGCCATTCCGCACACATTCCTATAGACATCCAAAAAGTGTATCAAGCAGGTCTCAGGTAGCTTGCAATCAAAGCTTGCCAAGGTGCTTCACTTCCCAAGATTCAGCAACCAGTTCAATCTCGTTCTTCAAAGAAGTGACCAGTCGGTCGCGCGTACGCACAAGCACCTGTAAATCTTCAGATTGACACATGGGATTTGTGGAAGCCGCCTTTCAGAGCATGATGCAACGCTTGCATTCATTTTCCACAGCTGCAAAGCTCTTCTGCACAGCTTGGACCTCCAACTCTCGTTCTTTGCTTTCCCACGTGACCCGAGCTTTGTCGAATTGCCCACGTACCTGTCCGAGAGCTTCGAGTAAGTGTGAGTTATACAGCCAGAGCAGATTCCTGAACTGTCTAAACCGGCCCTGTCCTAAGGCACTCTTCTGGCTGAACTTCTTATAGACGAATTGCTTATCCACGTTCCGCCTATTGTTTCTTTACATTTTCCTTCTAGAGCCTCCTTCCTCCTTCATAATACGCTTCAACAGTTCATAGATTCGCGATAAGCTTTAATTAGTTTCTGCTGGCTTGGTGCCAAGGCACAGCTAGAAGTTCCTTCTCTCGCGCTGCTTGAGCTTTGTCACGTCGCACCTTGCAAAGTCTCTCTCTAAATGAAAGTGACCAGTGTCAATTCATGCACAAGCCTTTTGCAGCATGGCTGGACGTCCAATATTAAGTGTGGCACCACCTCGATTTCGAGGTCAGCTTCCTGGGTAGCGCCAGCAAAGCAAACAAACCAACAAAACAAGATACACAAGGCATGGGAAAATTGGGAGACGCTCAGACCTATCAGAAAGACACTGAACGTTCTTCTCTTGAATGGGGCTCTGGCACGTAGCTCACAGCGAGTCCTCGCACATGAAGCAAAGTAAGAACCGTGAAGCGATGTGTGTGTGTACATATATATATATATTTGTTTATTTATCTATTTATTTATTTAACGTACGTTTGTACATATCCACCATCTACGCAGTCAAAAACCCAAACTGTTGAACTGCATTGCCTGAAGTTACGAGCAAATGGATAAGAAATTATGGCAATAGCAAAGCGTTCACATAGCCAGGCCTTAGTTCATCATAGGCGGCCTTGGCAGGTTTTGGAATTCTGATGATGAAGCGTCTGATTCTTCTGTTTCGGCCAGCTTAAGCCATTCCCGCCTCGCACTCCTTTCTGATTTCATCTTCCCTGTTTGCTTTGAGGGCCAATTCTGCCTTCAAAAAACGCAACCCTCAACAGAAGCAAGGTTTGTGCTGTATCACCAGAATGGTCTGTTCAAAGTTGCGAGCAGAATGTCTGTCTGTTGTGAGAGGATGCGGACGACGACGACCACCACCACCACAACAACAACAACGACGACAACAGCAGCAATAACAACAACAAAGAACAAGAAGAACAAGAAGAACAAGAAGAACAAGAAGAACAAGAAGAACAAGAAGAACAAGAAGAACAAGAACAAGTGTTCGAGTAATAAAGTAACCAAATTTTCGAGTCAAGACTTCACCCTCACCGCACTGCGGAAGGTTCCAATCCACGTGCTGAAGCACCACTAAGTGCACCAAGTGGAGCATATTGTGCTATGTGGACATACTTAATTTAGGCAACGGGCTCATTTTGGGCATAAATTCGAGCTCATTTTGGGCAATTTATTTTTGAGGTTCACTTTGGGCATAAACGGGATCATTTTGGGCATCAATGGGATCACTTTGGGCATAAATGGGATCACTTTGAAGCCTCTCGCGTTCCAAAGTGATCCCTCTACCAAAACGAGGCGCCAATCCCAGATTTTGTCCTCACATCATCACTTCCACTGTCACGTCCATTACTACTCTCTGACCTTGGAATTCAGTGTGCTCAACTACCGACCCATTTAAAGTTTATTTGAAGTGGAAGGGGAAATCAATACCAGCCATTTACAGAAACAACCATTTAGGGTTTATTGGGGGGAACTTCTACTCACACGATCATTTCAGCATTTTCGAAGGTTAGAACACACGACTCAGCCCACTCTAAGGGCTCTTACTTCTCTCTTGCCTTGGCCATCCTTATGCTCACAGCAGCCATTTAGGGTTTATTTGGGGGGAGGGGGGGGTTCAGAACTTGCCAGTTAAAATTTATTTGAGGGGAGGGGGGAGGTCAATACCAGCCATTTACAGAAACAGCAATCTAAGATTTTATTGGGGGAGGGAACTTCTACTTACATCATCATTTCAGCTTTCTTTCGAAAGGTAGAACAAGCGACTCAGCCCACTCTAAGGGTTCTTACTTCTCTCTTGCCTTGGCCATCCTTATGCTCACAACAGCCATTTAAGGTTTATTTGGGGGGGAAAGATGAGATTCACAACCAGCCATTTAGGGCTTATCTGGGGGGAGGGGGAGGGTTCAGAATTGGCCAGTGTAGGTTTATTTGATCTCACCCCCTCGCATTTGCATCACTACACGCTAAACCTTACTGACTGGATCGCATGTGGCTTAGCCATCTTCAGAGCCAAACAAAAAAATGAAACAAAAATGATAACGAAGCCAACCAAGCCAGATCAGCCGTTTGAGGTTCAGCATGGCTCTTCCCCTCAGGCCCTATCACCCGCAGCGCTTCATCCATCAGAAGTTTCGCCCAAATCTGACAAAAATGTTCAAGCATCTTCACTGGGAAGCCACCGGACCAGATCAGCCGTTGAGGTTCAGCATGGCTCTTCCCCTCAGGCCATTTCCCCCGCAGCGCTTCATCCATCAGAAGCTTCACCCAAATCCGACTAAAATGTTCAAGCATCTTCACTGCGAAGCCACCGGACCAGATCAGCCGTTGAGGTTCAGCATGCCTCTTCCCCTCTGGCCATATCCCCCGCAGCGCTTCATCCATCAGAAGCTTCACCCAAATCCGACAGAACTTGTTCAAGCATCTTCAATGCGAACCCCACCGGACCAGATCAGCCGTTGAGATTCAGCATGGCTCTTCCCCTCAGGCCTTCAATGCGAAGCCACCGGACCAGATCAGCCGTTGCGGTTCAGCATGGCCCTTCCCCTAAGGCCATATCACCCGCAGCGCTTCATCCATCAGAAACCCAAATCGGACAAAAATGTTCAAGCATCTTCAATGCGAAGCCCACCGGACCAGATCAGCAGTTGAGGTTCAGCATGGCTCTTCATCTCAAGCCTTGCATGCGAAGCCCACCGGACCAGATCAGCCGTTGAGGTCCAGCACGGCCCTTCCCATGAGGCCATATCACCCGCAACGCTTCATCCATCAGAAGCTTCACCCAAAGCCGACAGACATGTTCAAGCATTTTCAATGCGAAGCCCGCCGGACCAGATCAGCCGTTGGGGTTCAGCATGGCTCTTCCCCTCAAGCCTTCAACGCGATGCCCACCAGATCACATCAGCCGTTGGGGTTCAGTATGGCCCTTCCCCTTAGGTCATATCACCTGCACCGCTTCATCCATCAGAAGCAAATCCGACTCAATTGTTCAAGCATCTTCAACGCGAAGCCCACCTCACCAGATCAGCCGCTGAGGTTCAGCATGGCTCTTCCCCTCAGGCCATATCACCGCAGCACTTCATCCATCAGAAGTTCCATCCAAATCCAACAAAAATGTTCAAGCATCTTCACTGCGAAGCCCACCGGACCAGATCAGCCGTTGAGGTCCAGCATGGCCCTTTCCATGAGGCCATATCACCCGCAGCGCTTCATCCATCAGAAGCTTCACCCAAATCCGACAGAACTTGCTCAAGCATCTTCAATGCGAAGCCCACCGGACCAGATCAGCAGTTGAGATTCAGCATGGCTCTTCCCCTCAGGCCTTCAATGCGAAGCCCACCGGACCAGATCAGCCGTTCAAGTTCAGCATGGCCCTTCCCCTCAGGCCATATCCCCCGCAGCGCTTCATCCATCAGAAGCTAAACCGAAATCCGACTAAAATGTTTAAGCATCTTCAATGCGAAGCCCACCGGACCAGATCAGCCGTTGAGGTTCAGCATGGCTCTTCCCCTCAAGCCTTCAATGCGAAGCCACCGGACCAGATCAGCCATTGAGGTTCAGCATGGCTCTTCCTCTCAGGCCATATCACCCGCAGCGCTTCATCCATCAGAAGTGTCACCCAAATCGGACAAAAATGTTCAAGCATCTTCAAGCAAAGCCTACCGGACCAGATCAGCAGTTGCGGTTCAGCATGGCTCTTCCCCTCAAGCCTTCAATGCGAAGCCACCGAACCAGATCAGCCGTTGAGATTCAGCATGGCCCTTCCCATTAGGCCATATCACCCGCAGCGCTTCATCCATCAGAAGCTTCAGCCAAATCCGACTAAAATGTTCAAGTATCTTCACTGCGAAGCCCACCGGACCAGATCAGCCGTTGAGGTTCAGCGTGGCTCTTCCCCTCGGGCCATTTCACCCGCACCCAAATCCGACAGAATGTTCAAGCACCTTCAATGCAAAGCCCACCAGACCATCTCCGCCGCTGACGTTCAGCATGGCTCTTCCCCTCAAGCCTTCAATGCAAGCCACCGGACCAGATCAGCCATTGAGGTTCAGCATGGCTCTTCCTCTCAGGCCATATCACCCGCAGCGCTTCATCCATCAGAAGGTTCACACAAATTGGACAAAAATGTTCAAGCATCTTCACTGCGAAGCCCACCGGACCAGATCAGCCGTTGAGGTTCAGCGTGGCGCTTCCCCTCAGGCCATTTCACCCGCACCCAAATCCGACAGAATATTCAAGCGCCTTCAATGCGAAGCCCACCGGACCATCTCCGCCGCTGACGTTCAGCATGGCCTTCCCCGAAGCCACCGGACCAGATCAGCCATTGAGGTTCAGCATGGCTCTTCCTCTCAGGCCATATCACCCGCAGCGCTTCATCCATCAGAAGTGTCACCCAAATCCGACAAAAATGTTCAAGCATCTTCACTGCGAAGCCTACCGGACCAGATCAGCAGTTGCGGTTCAGCATGGCTCTTCCCCAGCAGGGTGCATGTGGCTACAGGGCCAAAGCAAGGCTCTGAGGGCATCACTTGCCAAAATTGCGGCAAGAAAGGCCATATAGCTCGTGAATGCCCACAGCCTGTGAAATGCAGCCGCTGTGGCAAGTCAGGGCACACAGCGAAGGACTGCTGGGCCAGGGATCCCAGCAAGAAACCCGGAGCGTCTTCGACTCCAAAACCTGCAGCCAAGCCCAAGGCTAAGCCTGCTGCCAAGAGCAAGGGCAGCAAAGGCCGGGGCAGAGGGCGTGGGAAAGGAGGAAAATTTCGAGAAGTTGAAGAAAAGGTGAAGAGCCTGCAGAAGCTGAGGAGTCTCAAGAACCAGAGGGAGAGCAGGAGGGTGACCAGGTTGCTATGGCAATCAAAGCTGTGAAGTCTGCATCAGCAGCTCAAGCCTTCAATGCGAAGCCACCGAACCAGATCAGCCGTTGAGGTTCAGCATGGCCCTTCCCATTAGGCCATATCACCCGCAGCGCTTCATCCATCAGAAGCTTCACACAACTTGGACAAAAATGTTCGATTCAAGCATCTTCAATGCGAAGCCCACTGGACCATCTCCGCCGCTGACGTTCAGCATGGTTCATCTCATACCCTTCTTGCCCAGCCCCACGGTTTTCCCGTCGGGGGGTGGACCAGGGAGGAATCGAGCCCCTACCGTCACTAAATCGCCACCTGGTACATGGCCTGGAAAAAGTCCTTTTATGGTCGGAAAAAAATAATCCACTTAATCAAATTGAAAATCGACCTCCGGACCGGCAATTGCCATAGCTACCCCCCCCGGACCCCCTAATACTCACTACGTTCGCAAACAACAACTCAGCCTTTTCTGTCGGCTGGCTTTCAGAATTAAAGAGCATTAAAGAGCTTCAATCAATGCAATATACTGTATGCCAGTATAATATCCACAAGTCTTACAAGAGAGTCACACGAGAGGCACGCAACACACACAACATTCAAGAGTCACACAAAGTCACAGGAGCCTCCAGCTCCCGGAGCCTTTTGAAGAGAAGATTTCTGTCCCTCAATCTGCATCTAAGCTCCTTAGCTCTTCTGGGCTCTTTTTAGCGCTTCTTAGCTCTTCTTAGCTCTTGATGCTTCAATCCACAAAACAGAGCTTGTCTGATCTTATCCGTCCAAACTTCAACTGCTGTTTAAAGGTCAAGAGATGTGGTCAAGACTGTGACGGCAGGAAAAGCACACCAGTCGTATTCTCAATCTGGGTGTCCTCGGAGTGTTCTTGCCGGAGCTCGACTATCCTTTCAGCGATTTGGCTTTGGTGCACCCCTAATACGGCAGTCAACAAGCAAGAAAGATCCAGTTTGCATTTTGACATTTTGCGTATTTTTGTGTCGAGAGAAATACCTTACGACGCCACAGAAAAAGTGGCTAGGAGACAAAGTAACTTGCCGGGTTATTTTGGGTCTGGCGGCAAAAAACCATCGCTATGCTCTTCAAAATCATATCAGGCTGCATTCTTCGACCAAATGCTTTCATCTGGACATCTGCAGAGGTCTCTTCTAGTCTCCTCTGATCACGCTTTTGGATTTCCCTCTTTGCTGCAGCTGTCTTCTCTCTTTCTTCCTGACAGAGTGAAGAAAAATTAGGATGATTTCAGACAAGCAAGAGGATTGAAGTAGGTATCTGATAAATGCATCATTAATTAGACACTGAGAACAGGGCCAAAATCTGACCTTCTGCATGCTTCAGCTGAGCAACGACGATACCATACCTGATCAAAAGTCATCCACCGCAAGGTGAACGGAGTTAATCAAGACACAGCACCACAACTTACCAGAACCAAGGAAACGGATACGACAATACAGCATGCGAAGTGACGGACAAATGATTGGCAAATGATACACAAAAATTGTTTTCCAAAGCCTGTACATGCTTTAAATTAATTAAGAATAATGTACAAAACACAAATTGTTTTCCATATTGAACTGCCGCTCCGGCACCCCTCTTCCTTCTGCTGCACTCGCTCATCCCATTTTTGGTCAAGGGCAATATTCTCCTGCCACATCTGAAGATATCTGAAGCACATAAAGTGTCATAAACTTATCAAACTTACTGGAAGTCAATCAAAGTCAATGCGGATAATCAAGAGTGCACAAGCAGTGAGACGCAGTGAGACTTCAGGATTAACCAGGATTGACTCACAACAGGCTAATGCTGGGCACTCCTTGGATTGTTGCAGGACGCGCTCTTGTAGCTTGGAAATCTAGGCAGAAAGCGATCACTCGGAAGTAGACACCCATATAGCAGCAAAAAAGAAAACTTTTTTTGCACAGGACTCCCTTAGATTTAGTGTTCGAAACCTTCCCAAACAGTCAATTGACCTCAATTGTTTGAGACTCTTCAGGTAAGCCTTTGCAGTTTCACTTGCGAAGACACGTGAAAATTCAGACCGAATGGAGAACCAAGCCCTGGCATATGGATAGGGAGTCTTGAGGTGACCGAGGTGACCTTCGAGGACGTGGCTTTTTGGTGGAGATTGTTTTGATTTGAAAATATTTGAAAACTGTTTTGTTTTGGTGTCTCTTCGTAGTTTGGAAACAGTCTTGCACTTGAGCCGTGAGCCTTCACCACTCGATATAGGCAGGGCTTGATGCGAATTTCAGTCTTCCTGGTCTTCCTCGTCTTCCTACTTATGAACTTAAAAAACTTAGCCGCCTGAAATCGTCTGAAATTCGAATCAAGCCATTGAGAACTTAGCTCCAAGCAATGTCTGTCTTGTCCTTCAGCTCCCGGTCTCGATTTTTGATCAAAATCTGGGGTCAGGACCAAAATGGAGAGTCATCGCAGCGTTGCATTCAAAGGAAAGGAGATCAAAGGAAAGCACGTCCTGTCCTGTCCTGACTGACACTGCCACGTGCTGTAATTCCCATAGCTTGTTGGCTTCTGCCCTCAACCAAACCAGCCTCACATCTTCTTGTTACTTCGTCTAATCGCATTTCCATGACCTGTGCCACATTGAGCTCTGGCACTCAGGGAATAAGGGGGCGGTCGTCAAAATTCTACGCCATCGGCTTTCGGATAATGAACAAAAATTGCCCAAAAGAGATATACACATACATAGATACATATAGATATACACATTTTTTTTGGTTGTGTTAGGTTGCTGCAAGACTTGCAGCTGATCCTGAGGCTGCTGGATTTCAAGATTACAAAAATGACAGCCCAACTTTACGTGACGCGTGAATCATCTTGTAAACTGCCTGCATCCTTTGTCGAGGATGAGAGGGAGCTGCCTCTTCCTCTTCTTTCTCTTCCTTGGGGCTGATCTGAAATGTGTGTCAGGATAATGTGAAAAGGCATCTGCATTAGACTCAAAACAATCACTTTTTAAATCAGCACGATGGCATGCAAATATGTCGTGCACACACATGCCCCAACCCGGTGTTTGTGCAAGTCACTTTTTGGCGACGAAGCTTGGTATTTTCCTTCACGAAAAGATCAAGGCTTTCCTGGTCGACTCTTTCCCAGAAAGTCAGGTTTCTAATTTCCTTCTAATCACTTGTAGACATTCCTAGATTCTTGTCAAACATCAAATGCACCTTGGCAATTCTGCATTCTTTTTCAAGATCCTGCAATTCAAAAGTTTGCTCAGATCACACACAAAAAAGAATAATGTTCAATGCTGCTTTTGTTAAAAGATGCCAAGGGGAATAAGTGCGGAATCGATGACCAGGGAACCTGTTGATGAGCCTGAGTTCGTCACAGCATGTTTCTCTTGGACTTGAGTCGTGGAGAGATACACAACAGTTCTGTTTGTTGATATCTTTACCAGTAGTACCGCACAAGGCGGTGGCGGAAGTTTCAAAAATAGGAAACCTATAGGAGAGGTTGGTTGTTGTGAATCAGGGATGGCAGAGCGAATCCACTGATGGACCGAAAGGTGCTTGAGGTCTCCTCTCTTTCGCTCTCTTTATCTGACTATCTACCTATCTATCTATCTTCTATGTATCTATCTTTCTATCTATCTATCTATCTATCGATCTATCTATCTATCTATCGATCTATCTATCTATCTATCTATCTCTCCCCCTTTCATCTGTCTATCTGTCTAGCTGTCTACCTGTCTATCTGTCTATCTATCTATCTGTCTATCTATCTATCTATCTATCTAGCTCTCTCTCTCTCTCTCTCGCTTTCATTTGTCTATCTGTCTAGCTGTCTACCTGTCTATCTGTCTATCTATCTGTCTATCTGTCTACCTGTCTATCTGAGGTGCAGTGTCATTCAGTGTAATGTAGCGTAGTGTAATGTAGTGTAGTGGAGTGTAGTGGAATGTAGCGTAGTGTAATGTAGTGTAGTGTAGTGTAATTTAGTGTAGTGGAGTGTCGTGGAAGGTAGTGTAGTGTAATGTAGTGTAGTGGAGTGTAGTGGAATGTAGTGTAATGTAGTATAATTTCGTGTAGTGGAGTGTAGTGGAGTGTAGTTGTGTAGTTGGAGTTGTAGTTGTAGTGTAGTGGTGTGTAGTGTGGAGTAATGTAGTGTAATGTAGTGTAGTGGAATGCAGTGTAGTGTAGTGCAATGTAGTGTAGTTGTGTAGTTGTAGTTGTAGTTGTAGTTGTAGTTGTAGTGGAGTGTAGTGTATTGTAATGCAGTGAAGTGTAGTGGAAGGTAGTGTAGTGTAGTGTAATGTAGTGTAGTGGAGTGTAGCGTAGTGTAATGTAGTGAAGTGTAGTGGAAGGTAGTGTAGTGTAGTGTAATGTAGTGTAGTGTAGTGGAGTGTAGTGTAGTGTAATGTAGTGTAGTGTAGTGTAGTGTAATTTAGTGCAGTGTAATGTAGTGAAGTGTAGTGGAAGGTAGCGTAGTGTAGTGTAGTGTAATGTAGTGCAGTGAATGTAGTGTAGTGTAGTGTAGTGGAGTGTAATGGAATGTAGTTGTGTAGTTGTAGTTGTAGTTCTAGTTCTAGTTCTAGTTGTAGTGTAGTGTAGTGTAGTGTAGTGTAATGTAGTGTAGTGTGGTGTAATGTAGTGTAGTGGAGTGTAGTGGAGTGTAGTTGTGTAGTTGTAGGTAGTGGAGTGTAGTGTAGTGCAATGTAGTGTAGTGAAGCGAAGCGAAGGGACATCTGAACCTCCAAAAGTGGTCCGAACCCCTAGTGCTTTTAACATTTTGACTTCGAAATGTGCTTCGCGCCACAAGGGCGTGCACTTTTTCGACATCTGAACCTCCAAAAATGGTCCGTACATGGTGTGTTTTGTACATTTTGACTTCCAAATGTGCTTCGCGCCACAACGGCGTGCACTTTTTCGACATCGCAACTTCCAAAAGTCGTCCGACACTGAGGTGTTTTGTACATTTTGACTTGGAAATGTGCTTCGCGCCACAACGGCGTGCACTTTTTCGACATCTCAACTTCCAAAAGTGGTCCGAACCCCTCAGTTTTTAACACATTTTACTTCCAAATGTGCTTCGCGCCACAACGCCGTGCACTTTTTCAACATCTCAACTTCCAAAAGTGGTCCGGTGCTGAGGTGTTTTGTACCTTTTCACTTCGAAATCAGCTTAGCGCCACAACGGCGTGCAACTTTTCGTCTCTCATCTCCCCAGATGTCTCCGCACCCGCGGCTTTAGCGAGCCTACTTTTCAACCCTCCGGAGCCACAAAACCACGAAAAAACACAGTGTTTCGCGACTTTCCTACCTTTTCGCGCACCTGCATCTTCTTTCTTCTGATCTTTTCTCTTCTGACTCTTCTCCCTGCTGACTGCTTTTTCATCTCTCCATATTGTCGGAAGTTTGACTTCTAAACTTCCTTCGATAATCTGTATACCTTTGCCCTTCGGATTTCGGATGTAGGAAATCCTACACCATGCTCCGACAGAACCATGACAGTTCGCCTTCCTGAGGAAAAACAATCAGAACTTCCACCATATATACATATATATATATATACAAATGAGCATAGAGTCAGTTTTTCATGTTCAACAAGTACTTCAGGATGCATACTGTATGTGTATATACATACGTATATAAATACATGTATTTACATATACAGTTACATAGACATAGGCATCTATATCTACACATACATACATATAATATCATATAATATGTATATTGCAGACATGTGTACAGAAAGGAAGACAACACTTGCTTGTTCCTGCCAAGTCTCGCCACAGGTCTCTGAGTTCTCAACGTTTTACATTTTACGGGGTGGTACTTTGCTCGTTTCCTCGATTGCTGCGCCAGCTATATAAAGTATATTTTTTTTGCAAGTTATCAATTTTTATCAAAATTACAAAACTTTCAAAGCGATTTAAACTGGCCAAAGTCTGCCAAGGCCATGAGGCTCCAAGACAAGGTCGAGAAGAGCATAGCACTGAACATAGCAATCATATCACAGCAAACCCGACCAACCAAAAACAAAATCGTGACTGGAGCAAACACATCAATTATCGATAGGATGTCGTTTCTGTACTCAACCTGTTACGTTTGCACGTGTAGAGATTTATAAATATTATGTATATTATTGTACATACGCTGTTTACATATGTAGATACATACGGGTTTGCCGTAAAATGGGTTTTACCTCCAAATGGATTTGTTTAATAGGGCAATGATCTTCAAAACCACTGGATTTGGGGATTGCCTTACTTTTGGACTAACACCAAGTACGTAACGTAATGTCATGAAAAGCCATGTAAGCGTGATGTTATGGTATGTTAATGTATGTTATGCCATGTTATGTTATGTTACGTTGTGCTACGTGTTGTGTTACAGTATGCATGTACGTATGTGCAACGTCAGTGATACGGGTCTATACTAAGACTGCTATTGCTTATCTTTGTGGCATTCTGCCTTTAGTACAGGACTTGCTCCCTTATCACTCCCTGGTTTGGTTTTTCCCCACACAGCTCTTGGACTGCATGGGGTTCTCAATTTTTTCTAGAAACGGCCTTTGTTCCCTCATGATTTGCTGGTTCCTCTTGGTTCCGGCTGGGGTTCCGGTGCTTGTCTCCCTTCTTCTCTCTTCTTTCTTGCCTCAGGACGAAGGTTCTGTTCCATCATGATTTGCTGGTTCTTCCTGGTTCCGGCTGGGGTTCCGGTGCTTGTCTCCCTTCTTCTCTCTTCTTTCTTGCCTCAGGAAAGGGGTTCTGTTCCATCATGATTTGCTGGTTCTTCCTGGTTCCGGCTGGGGTTCCGGTGCTTGTCTCCCTTCTTCTCTCTTCTTTGGTTCCGGTGCTTGTCTCCCTTCTTCTCTCTTCTTTCGTTCATCAGGAAAGGGGCTCTGTTCCATCATGATTTGCTGGTTCCTCTTGGTTCCGGCTGGGGTTCCGGTGCTTGTCTCCCTTCTTCTCTCTTCTTTGGTTCCGGTGCTTGTCTCCCTTCTTCTCTCTTCTTTCTTTCCTCAGGAAAGGGGTTCTGTTCCATCATGATTTGCTGGCTCCTCCTGGTTCCGGCTGGGGTTCCAGTGCTTGTCTCCCTTCTTCTCTCTTCTTTCTTGTCTCAGGAAAGGGGTTCTGTTCCATCACGATGTGCTGGTTCCTCTTGGTTCCGGCTGGGGTTCCGGTGCTTGTCTCCCTTCTTCTCTCTTCTTTGGTTCCGGTGCTTGTCTCCCTTCTTCTCTCTTCTTCCTTTCCTCAGGACAAGGGTTCTGTTACATCATGATTTGCTGGTTCCTCCTGGTTCCGGCTGGGGTTCCGGTGCTTGTCTCCCTTCTTCTCTCTTTTTTCCTTCCTCAAGAAAGGGGTTCTGTTCCATCATGATTTGCTGGTTCCTCCTGGTTCCGGCTGGGGTTCCGGTGCTTGTCTCCCTTCCTCTCCCTTCTTTCTTCCTCAGGAAAGGGGTTCTGTTCCATCATGATTTGCTGGTTTCTGTTGGTTCCGGCTGGGGTTCCGGTGCTTGTCTCCCTTCTTCTCTCTTCTTTGGTTCCATTGCCTTTCTCCCTTCTTCTCTCTTCTTTCTTTCCTCAGGTAAGGGGTTCCGTTCCATCATGATTTGCTGTGGTTCCTGTGCTTGTCTCCTTTATTCTCTCTTCTTTGGTTCCGGTGCTTGTCTCCTTTCTTGTCTCTTCTTTCTTTCCTCAGGAAAGGGGCTCTGTTCCATCATGATTTGCTGGTTCTTCCTGGTTCCGACTGGGGTTCCTGTGCTTGTCTCCTTTATTCTCTCTTCTTTCGTTCCGGTGCTTGTCTCCTTTCTTGTCTCTTCTTTCTTTCCTCAGGAAAGGGGTTCTGTTCCATCATGATTTGCTGGTTCCTCCTGGTTCCGGCTGGGGTTCCGGTGCTTGTCTACTTTCTTCTCTCTTCTTTTTTTCCTCAGGAAAGGGGTTCTGTTCTTTCATGATTTGCTGGTTCCTCTTGGTTCCGGCTGGGGTTCCGTTGCTTGTCTCCCTTCTTCTCTTTTCTTTCTTTCCTCAGGGGGTTCTGTTCCATCATGATTTGCTGGTTCCTCTTGGTTCCAGCTGGGGTTTCGGAGCTTGTCTCCCTTCTTCTCTCTTCTTTGGTTCCGTTGCCTTTCTCCCTTCTTCTCTCTTCTTTCTTTCCGCAGAAAAGGGATTCTGTTCCATCATGATTTGCTGGTTCTTCCTGCTTCCGGCTGGGGTTCCTGTGCTTGTCTCCTTTATTCTCTCTTCTTTGGTTCCGGTGCTTGTCTCCTTTCTTGTCTCTTCTTTCTTTCCTCAGGACAAGGGTTCTGTTCCATCATGATTTGCTGGTTCCTCCTGGTTCCGGCTGGGGTTCCGGTGCTTGTCTCCCTTCTTCTCTCTTCTTTGGTTCCGGTGCTTGTCTCCCTTCTCTCTTCTTTCTTTCCTCGGGAAAGGGGTTCTGTTCCATCATGGTTTGCTGGTTCCTCTTGGTTCCGGCTGGGGTTCCGGTACTTTTCTTCCTTCTTCTCTCTTCTTTGGTTCCGCTGCTTGTCTCCCTTCTTCTCTCTTCTTTCTTTCCTCAGGACAGGGGTTCTGTTCCATCATGGTTCCTGCTGGGGTTCCGGTGCTTGTCTCCCTTCTTCTCTCTTCTCTCTTTCCTCAGGAAAGGGGTTCTGTTCCATCATGATTCCGGCCGGGGTTTCGGTGCTTGTCTCCCTTCTTCTCTCGTCTTTGGTTCCGATGCTTGTCTCCCTTCTTCTCTCTTTTTTCTTTCCTCAGGACAGGGGTTCTGTTGTTCCGGCTAGGGTTCCGGTGCTTGTCTCCCTTCTTCTCTCTTCTTTGGTTCGGGTGCTTGTCCCCCTTCTTCTCTCTTCTTTCTTTTCTCAGGAAAGGGGTTCTGTTCCATCATGATTTGCTGATTCTTCTTGGTTCGGGCTGGGGTTCCGGTGCTTGTCTCCCTTCTTCTCTCTTCTTTGGTTCCGGTGCTTGTCTCCCTTCTTCTCTCTTCTTTCTTTCCTCAGGAAAGGGGTTCTGTTCCATCACGGTGTGCTGGTTCCTCTTGGTTCCGGCTGGGGTTCCGGTGCTTGTCTCCCTTCTTCTCTCTTCTTTGGTTCGGGTGCTTGTCCCCCTTCTTCTCTCTTCTTTCTTTTCTCAGGAAAGGGGTTCTGTTCCATCATGATTTGCTGATTCTTCTTGGTTCGGGCTGGGGTTCCGGTGCTTGTCTCCCTTCTTCTCTCTTCTTTGGTTCCGGTGCTTGTCTCCCTTCTTCTCTCTTCTTTCTTTCCTCAGGAAAGGGGTTCTGTTCCATCACGGTGTGCTGGTTCCTCTTGGTTCCGGCTGGGGTTCCGGTGCTTGTCTCCCTTCTTCTCTCTTCTTTGGTTCCGGTGCTTGTCTCCCTTCTTCTTTCGTCTTTCTTTCCTCAGGACAAGGGTTCTGTTCCATCATGATTTGCTGGTTCCTCCTGGTTCCGGCTAGGGTTCCGGTGCTTGTCTCTCTTCTTCTCTCTTCTTTGGTTCCGGTGCTTGTCTCCCTTCTTTTCTCTTCTTTCTTTCCTCAGGAAAGGGGTTCTGTTCCATCATGATTTGCTGGTTCCTCCTGGTTCCGGCTGGGGTTCCGGTGCTTGTCTCCCTTCTTCTCTCTTCTTTCTTTTCTCGGGAAAGGGGTTCTGAACATCATGATGTGTAAAACAGAAGACAGGAGTGTGCCAGACAGTTCCATGAATTTTGAATTGCACATGACCTTGGTGGAAACATGCGTTGTTGCTGTTTGGGGTCTATGCTGGGGTAATTGTTTTGGTTTTCGTGTTTGCCTTGCTGGTTCGGACTAGCAGTGACTAGCAGACTGCGGGGGACCCCACCATCTCCCAATGATATGTTTCTCCTTTTTTTCACCTTAAGGAGACTTCTCTTCCCAGCATTAACAGGGCCCCTTCTCCAAGTCATTGGGCAGCTTCTACTAGTAAGGCAAACCATGCGCGCAACGATTCTGGAGACTACCACTATACAGTGCCCAAAAGAGACATGTCATACCGTGCTATATCGCCAATGTGTTCATGCGTCTTGGCATATCCCTTCTGAGAACTTCCACAGCTCTTGTATAAATGAACACACCTAAACAGAAATAGCTGCGAACGGGACAAGCCCAAAATAAGACAAACGTCGCACACATCAAGTCTGATAGTGGCAAAAGGGATAAATGAAGAGATAAGGCAAGAATTTGGTCAAATATCAAGGTCCTCCAGGCATCCGGCTATTTGCGATTCTTCATTTTTGGACAAATTCCGTCAAGTGTTCCAAGCGTTCCAAGCATTCCAAGCGTTCCAAGCGTTCCTAGCGTTCCAAGCGTTCCAAGCGTTCCAAGCGTTCCAAGCGTTCCAAGCGTTCCAAGCGTTCCAAGCGTTCCAAGCGTTCCAAGCGTTCCAAGCGTACTTGATTAGCCTAGAATATATTTCATATATATGTGAATAGGGATTCAAAAAAAAACTGGACATGTTCCGACTGACGCTGTTCAAGCAGGCCCGCTCGGAAATGAGCTCCTCATTGCTCCGAAATAAAAAATGTGTCCCCTTACAATCTGTGGCCTCTCTGTGTACTCAACAGGTCTTGCAACGTGGTCTCAACTCAGCTTCCCCAACACAATGCCTATGAAGGCCTTGCATCAGCCCTTTTTCACATAGCAGCTCCTGCATTTTTGTTTGGATCTTTTCTCGACCTTCTGCCTCTGACAGCATGATGCAAAGTAAGGCATTTTTTGTCATCATACATAAGATGTTCTGAATTCAGCCACTGCGGAAGTCTGTCAAAATAGTTCTGAGGATGAATACTGACTGTGCCTTTTCCTCCTGCATGGTCTTGATCTTGTCTTGAAGCTTCCTCACCTCCTCCTGAACAAGGTGCAATAGAAAATGACCAGGAGCATTCTCATGTTGAACACAAGCCAGACAAGCCTCCCTTTCTGCTACCATGGCCACCCAAGGTTCCATTTTCTTCTCATACCTGGCCAGCTAGCTCACACACCCACCCCGCACTTGCAGCCAAACTTTATATAGCTGTCTTGAATTTTGCAAGGTACAAGAACAAGTAACTTGAGAGTGCTAGTATGAGCACGCAGTGCTCACAAACGAACTCAAATGAACTATGTTTTTTGAAGGAATTACTAGTAAAGAAAGACTCGTGACTCCTGCCTACCCATCATAAAATTCAGTCAAGTTTTGTACAAGCTGTTGCTCACAAAGTCAGCAGACAAACACTATGTCATAGCATGCTTAGCATGTCATAGTTTATCTTTTTTGTGCCGGCCTCGGATTGTTCTTGGGTTCTATTCAGTCATAGTCATACTGTATGAAGTCAACATACTGAAGACCAATCAGTACGATATTTGCTTTCTGCACCAGCTTCCATTTGGATCACTGCTTAAGCATCAGCGCATTCAATCACATTAACTACAATTCAGAAGAATGCACAACAATTCAGGTATGGCTAAGGCTCAGTAAGCTGCTGACTCTTTCTCTACACTTTGAAGCTTTCTGTCCAGCTTCTGGATGACCTGTCTGAGAGATGCTTAAACAGCTTAAACTGAGAAAGCTGCGCGGTGACTGAAAGTTCGCCTCTTCGAATCCTTCACGCATCCTGGACAGATCTGGACATAGCGTACATGGAAAAGACAAGGTGAGGCGAAAGGATACTGCAAATTGCATTGCATTTTTTTGAAAAATCCCGTTGATCTTCAAAGCCCCTGCCTGTCCACGTTGTCACTGTGGGTCTGCTCTTTGGTTCTGAAATCATGCACCAAAAGGTCATAGCCTTTCTCCTGATGCAACTCCATCGCAGGAATTCACAGGAAAAATCCCACACTCCACGACTAACTCGCAGGCCTTGATGTCAACCTGCTTCTCGTAAGGTGTGTAGTCCACCTTTTTTGCTCACAATTGGTACGACAGATTTCTTGAAATCAACTAGATCCATGATCAAGAAATTGTGAGACTGAAGTCTCAAAAGAAAACTGAGTGAATGCCAACTTTGCCTGTGATAGCTGCACTTCGAGCCCCTGTTTTTGTAACTCTAGCTCCTTCCACGGCGAATGCCAGACTGTCAGTACTGGTTGAAACGGCCAATGCAGAAATTGGAGGTCTGCAAAGGTGTGTAGTCGGGACGTGTCTGGAACGGCGTACGTGTGTGGACGGGTGCTGTGGAACCAGGGAGAGGTGGGAGCTGTCGATCTGTTGAGCATCAAGCAAATATTTTAATGCAAATTAAAATACATTCAGCCACAGCCTCTCAGGCATTCCTGCAAATCTCAGACGTTCCATTTTTCTCGGTGATGAAGCACAATAAGTTGCCAAAAAGGACACGCAGAGTCAATCGCACAGAAATGTGCCACGAAGGAAGAAAGGCACAAGAGAGGCCTAGCTCATTAACACCAGGATGACTCCAGTGCTTGAAACCAGACTGAAGAACGCAATGAGATTGCATTGCAATAAAGGCAATAAGTAACAATCTGGAAGGTAGTGGACAGAGAACGGCCACGAGAAGTCTGCAACAATGCCAACAAACCTGTCACGGAAACGGCAAGAATGCAAAGAAAGCAAGAAAGCAAGCTGAGTGCGATGTCAATTGTGTTTGTGTACATTCGTATTCACTAAAGGCAATTTTATTTACTTCATTACAGCAAGGGCAGCAAGGGAGGAGAGTGCAAACGTGGTTTCCTTGCTGAGACACTGCAGCACGAAATGCAGGCACAACACTTCATTGAAATTTGTTTGAAACTTGCAGACACAGTTCTACAGGCTGTGGAAGGACACCAGTGCATCAACAATGAAATGATTTCACAGTCCTTGATTTGCTTGATGTATGGACCCGCAATAGTCTCGGACCTCAATTTCAATTGTCTCAAGATGTATCAAGCTGTGACACATGTCCAAAATGCGGTAGGGCCGTGTGGTTTTCGACAACTTCGTGTATAGCCGAGCCACTCTGCTTCAATTTCGTGCATTTTGATCTGCAACTTCATGACCTGCAAACTGCACTGAAACGGAAAGAGATGTTGCAATTATTCTGGGTCCAACCCAAGTCTCTGAGAGTACGATTTAAAGGGAAAAGGTTTCTATTATACATTTCATTCAAAAAAATTCTCCATGGCGACGTGCTGTGGTATTTGGTTTCCCTTATCACAGGTGAGGACGGACAGTACATAGCAAAAGGTCAGTGTTGAAGTTTCCCTTTGGGCAAATTAAACAAACATGAATATACTGTGCGTACATAAAAAAATACAAATTTGTAGCCATACCTGCTAGTGTCATATAAATATATATATATACTATATACATGTATACTGTACATATATTATATATATATATTTATATACATATATATATATTTATATTTATATTTGTATGATATATGTATCAGGATACTTTTGCCGAGTCCCCGACCACAGTTCGCACGAAAGTTTCCGTTTTGAAATTTCGCACTAAAGTTTCGCTGTTACATTTTCATTTTGTAGTGTTTGAAGGACGTCTAGCACGAGGGTTCGTTTCCACAACAACAACTTGCATGTTGTTCAAAGATGTTTCGCACAAAAGCAGTGTTTTTTAAAATTTCACCTTGCAGTTTCTGAAGGTTTCGCACGAAAGCCGCGTTTTCCAAATTTCAATTTGCGGTTTTAAAAATTCACCAGAGTTTGGTTTTCATAATTTCAATGTGCATTTTTTCGCATTTACAATTTGAAGTTTTTGAGGGAAATCCCCCACGAAATGCATTTGTGAGAAACATTTAAAGGTTGCAATTTTTTTTGGTGTTTTTGTGGTCATGTATTTTTTTGTTTTCCAGTCTGGGGCACTTTTCCTTGCTACCTGCGACATTTTGGGAGCAAAAACCTGTAATTTGCTGACTGTTTGTTGGGACTAAACTTCACAATTGGAAATGTTGAAGTGCATTTCGACCGCGCAAGCTCGCACAAAGTCTGTGTCCGCGTTCTGGGTTCAATCTGGGCCGCGGCATTTTTCCTATAAATTTCCGTATAAGGTATAAAGTGGCTCTTGTGAAATGTTGACCTGCATTTCGATTGCGCAGGCTCGCACAAAGTGTGCACCTAGGTTCTGGGCCACGGCTGAAATGTTGAAGTGCATTTCGACTGCGCAGGCTCGCACAAAGTCTGCGTCCGCATTCTGGGCTCAATCTGGGCCGCGGCATTTTTCCGGTAAATTTCCGTATAAATAGCTCTTGTGAAATGTTGACTTGCATTTCCATTCGCAGGCTCGCACGAAGTGTGCGCCTAGGTTCTGGGCCGCGGCATTTTCCCTATAAATTTCCGTATAAGGTATAAAGTGGCTCTTGTGAAATGTTGACTTGCATTTCGATTGCGCAGGCTCGCACAAAGTGTGCGCCTAGGTTCTGGGCCGCCGCATTTTTCCTGTAAAATTCTGTATAAAATGGCTCTTGTGAAATGTTGACTTGCATTTCCATTCGCAGGCTCGCACAAAGTGTGCACCTGGGCCACGGCATTTTCGCTGTAAATTTCCGTACAAAGTGGCTTTTGTGAAGGGAAGGAAGGAAGGAAGGAAGGAAGGAAGGAAGGAATGAACGAATGAAACGAACGAACGGACGAATGAACGAACGAAACGAACGAACGAAACGAACGAACGGACGAACGAACGAACGGAGAAACGGAGAAACGGAGGAACGAAGGAACGAAGGAACGAAGGAACGAAGGAACGAAGGAACGAATGAACGAAGGAACGAAGGAACGAAGGAACGAAGGAACGAAGGAACGAAGGAACGAAGGAACGAAGGAACGAAGGAACGAAGGAACGAAGGAACGAAGGAAGGAAGGAAGGAACGAACGAACGAAGGAACGAAGGAAGGAAGGAAGGAAGGAAGGAAGGAACGAAGGAACGAACGAACGAACGAAGGAAGGAACGAACGAACGAACGAATGAATGAATGAATGAATGAAGCAATGCATGAATAAATGAACCATTTTTCCATGAACCCTTGAATCCCGAGAGTCTTTTCAAGCCTAAATCCACGGATTCCCGAACTGCTACACTTCCCAACTCCTTGGTGATATTTGGTTGACATGATGATGTGGTTGAAACAGGATGTGGTTGACATGACGGTGACAATGCTGACCATGCCAACTGCATCTTCCAAATATGCCCTGGCGCTGTGAGTTTTAACAATGTTAATGTGAAATCAAGCTCTCGCTGCAGTCCCGTAGACATTTTGATACAGGAACTCAACCACACAAATCCAAAGACCCCTCTGAAACCCTCAGTTTTTATATATGCTACAGTCTCCTGCGCATTTTGCCGTGCGAACTCGACCACACAAATCCAAAGCTGCTCCAAACGTGACATTTTTTTATCATTATTCTGTGAAAACGAGCTCTTGCTACAGTCTCATGCAAATTTTGCTCGACCTCATCTTCCAAAAGCACTCCGAACACGTCAGTTTTTTTTAACGCTTTTTATGTGAAATTGAGCTCTCGCTACAGTCTGGTGCACATTTTGCCAACCTCGTCTTCCAAAAAGTGTTCCGAACATGTCAGCTTTTTTTAATATTTTTATCTGAAACCAAGTTCCCGTGCACATTCTGCCGATCTTCCAAAAGTGCTCCGAACATGACAGTTTTCAACATTTTCGAATGCAAATCGAGGTCTCGCTACAGTCCTGTGCACTGTTCGTCCACAACTTTTGCAGATCGAGGCCTGGAACCCCGGAAACAAAGACCCTACTTCGGCGACCACGGAAGCCACTTCACCCGCAAAAAACACACAGTTTCGCGCCCGAGATGAATTCAGGCATTCCCAGGTGTTACTTCCCAACTACTTGATGATGATGTGGTTGACATGATGCTGTGGTTGACATGATGGTGAGAATGCTGGCCGTGACAATCGTCTGTAACTCGGAAGGTTTCTAACTAAACATCCATTGATCAAAGGAAATTTAGAAGTCAAACTTCCGACAATATGGACAGATGAAAAGCAGACGGCAGAGGTGGGAATAATCAGAGAAGAGAAGAGAAGAGAAGAGAAGAGAAGAAGAAAGAAGAAAGAAGAAAAAAGAAAGAAGAAAGAAGATCAGAGAAGAGAAAGAGTCAGAAGAAAGAAGATGCAGGTGCGCGAAAAGGTAGAAAAGTCGCAAAACACTGTGTTTTTCCGATGCTTTGTGGCTCCGGAGGGTCGAAGAGTAGGCTCGCTAAAGCGACGGGCGCGGAGCCATCTGGGGAGATGAGTGATTAAAAATTTTCACGCCATTGTGGCGCGAAGCAGATTTCGAAGCCAATATCGCAAGACACCTCATGCCCGGAGCACTTATGAGCACTTTTGGACGTTGAGATGTTGGAAGAGTGCACCCCGTTGTGGCGCGAAGCACATTTCGAAGTCAAAATGCAGAAACCACCTCCACGTCGGAGATCATCATCATCATCGTCGTCGTCGTCGTCGTCGTCTTCTTTGCTGCTATCTTCTCATCTCCTCCCTCCTGCTTCCTTTCGGGCCATACTGCGTTGAGTTTTGGCTTCGGCGCCGAGATCCAGTTTTGAAGCAGGTTTTGGACAAGAGAAGAGCTGAACTGAGAAGTAAGTAGAGTTGATATGAGCTGCGAAGAGCTGAGGGGAGCTGAGAAGAGCTGAGACGAGCTGAAGAGCTGAGAAGAGTTCAGAAGAGATGAGATGAGCTGAGAAGAGCTGGGAAGAGCTGAGAGGAGATGAGCTGAAAGAAGCTGAGGCAAGGAAAGACGAGACGACAAGACATGAGATGAGATGAGACGATATGAGATCAGATGTGATGAGATGATGAGATAATGAGATTTAAAAAAAGGACACAAAGATAGAGGGACATCTCCAGAAAAGAGATTCCAAAAGCAAGAGATGTCAAATGACTGAAACGGTGCCGCTGCAACGCACTCGTGGTTGTTTGACATCCTATAGGCGTATTTTGCGTTGGTCCCTTACGGGCTTGTTCTTGAAAGTAACATGTGTGGGAAAAAATACATTTTTGCAGTGTTAGGAAATGCAGCAGTTTAAAATAAAAATGCAAACAAGGCAAAAAATACCAACAAAAAATGCAACCAAGAAACCATGCGGAAAGAAATTCGAGGAATTGTAAAATCAAAAGGCAAAGACTAAGTTGTGACTGTTTGAGTATGGCCTTGTGGCTTTGCCAAATGCTTGACTTGATGAATTGTACTGCATACTGCTTCACCCTGACCGGAATCAATGCGAAAGCCAGCATCAGTAATGCAACCCTCCGAGGGACTAGTTTAGTGTCCGACCATAGTTGGCGCATATTTTTTCATCTTTCCTGAAGTGACATTTTTTGCGAGGTGGGTGCATTCCTTTTGTGCTCTGATTTTGGGACATATTTTTGAAGCGATAATTTCTGCCTGGTTTTGCTTTTAATTTTGGAGCACGTGTGGAAGCTACTTCTTGCATTTGGATTTTAGGACAGTTTGGGAGCCGCGTTTTCTACGCATTTTGATTTCAAGGCAGTTCCAATGGCTGCATTTTTTTAACCCGCTTTTTGTTGTTTTTCGTGCACTTTTTATAGTTGTTTTGTGGAATTTTCTTAAGAGAAATGCGTGTTTTCAAAACTTATGTTTGATCAGCTGGTCCAAGTATGGTTCGCGCTTTGCATTTTACCTGGTAAATGGCATTTTTTGCAAAACTTATGTTTGCCCAGCTGGTCCTAATCTGTTTTTGGACTTGTTTTGCATTTTATTGCTATTTTTTAAATCACGTTGCTTTTTAAAACTCTGGCCAAACTCATTTTTGAACATTTGGGGTCCAGTGCCATCTGACTGGCGCACTTCCTTATCTCCATCCTGCCATCCCCAGACCCCCTGCTCCCCCTCCCCAGGCCAACGCCCATGGGGTCGGCGGCAGCCCTTATATTCTGGTGACGCCGAATATAAAGACTACAAACTTAGCTTGCTATTCGCTTGCTAGTGGCTTGCTATCTGTCGGGCCCTGTCGGGCCCTGCCGCCGACCCTCCCCAAAATCCTTTATTTTTTGGGGGATGAGAAAAAGCGACCACAAGGGACGTGCCTCAAAAATCCTCAAAACTGGATCTGGAAAGTCGATTTTGAAGACTTTTTGGCAATTTTGGCGCACCGGTTGCCAGAACACTGTACTGTAAGTGACAGCACGCTGAGAAGTACAGTGTGTGCAACACACATGCAAAAAGATGTGCGCTGCAATGTGCTGAAAACAGTGTAAATACCGGTGTTTTTTCCAGCATCCAAAAAAACACAATAAATACTGTGTTTTTTGCAAAAGTCGGGAAAAATCAGAGTTATTTGCCTCGAAGGTGCAAACAACATCGCAAGTACCCTCGTTTTCGGCATCTGGCAAGCCAAAGTTGATGCCCAACCCTCATATACAGCATCGCCGGTCTGCGGAGCGCTACAATGTATACACATTATGTAGATAGATCGATAGGTAGAGATAGATATTATAGAGATATCATAGAAATATGATAGAGGTATGATAGAGAGATTATAGAAATAGTTTAAAGATATGTTGGATATATTATAGAGATGTTAGAGGGATATTTTAGAGATATTACAGATATATCATAGAGATATTATGAAGATATCATAGAGATATGATATTGCAGAGAAATAGATATATGTATATATATATGGTATAAAATAATAAATATACAGTATAAATATTATATATATATGCAGAGTTATAGAAGATCACAGATATACATGATATACATTATACACATGCAAACAATATACATAGAAGATCATGTAAGCAGCTTCACAATCCCACGGCCTCTTTGTGATGAGCTTCCCTCGCCTGTAGATCAGAATCACAGATGGGCCAAGCAACAGCTTCGACAGCTTCGAAAATTCAATGGGAAATGCCAGCATTACCGATTCTTACAGGGATCATATCCTGCATTTGAACGGAAGTGAAGTGCAGGAGGCACAGTGGTCCAGACCAGAGACAGAACGCTTTGAGTAGAGGAGATGTTACCAGGGATTCATCTTTAGGCATTCCACCAAAAAAAGCATTGCTTTGACTTCGAGAGACAAAACAGTCAGACTGAGTCATTCACACGAGTCAAAAGATGCATTCAAAAGAAGAAAAACTAATCTCTTTGTGTCATGCTAGCTGTTGATATTGAGATGTCTGAGACTGTTTGCTTTGCTACGATATCCAACACAGCAAGTTATGAAACAGTAGAACCTCATATTTTTTTATGTAATTGATGTCCGATATGTAAGTTATAAATCCAGACAAACAAAAATGTTCCGTGCTCTCCGTGCTCCACAATCTGTCACAATCCAAATTCCAAGATATTCCAAGCACCTGCGCAACCTCCAACTCCCACTGTTCTTTGACTTCCTGTGCGCATGAGCAACGAATAAATTGAATAAATGAACAGGGCCACGAATGGACGAGATAAACAACATCGACAACACCGACAACACCGACAACACTGATCACTTCCGCCATGTAAGTTCATGCTCTTCATGCTCTTCATGCTCCATTGTTCAAATGCTCCAATTCTCCACCTGCAACTCCTCTTGCAGGACAAAGACTTCTTGCTGAATTTGTTCAGCACGATCCTGTCAAGGGACGCTGGGTATCACGCCATCACAACACCATCACAGTCTATCAGATTTTCCCCATCTGTTCAGTGAGTGGAGCTCCAGGAAAAGAATCGAGGAATGCCTTGAATACAGTATTGACTTTTCTTGCCCAGCCCGCATTGGGGAAGACAGAAAGCTTAAACAGAACACAGGAGAATACAGTATATAACAATGGGATACAATGGGGAAATATATGCAATGATATGAACACATGAGGAATCTTAGCAAAGACTCAGACTGAGACCACACCCGGCGTACCACTGCCATCCACTCCAACATCCAAATTTTCGGAATCTCAGTACACTATGCATCTGCTTTTGGCTCAGAGTTTTCAATGCCTTGGTCTTCCACCCTTGTAATAAATGTTGATAACAATTTAATATGACTTAGTCTAGTCTAGTTTAGTTTAGTCCGTCTCAAACAACCTCAGAAGTTTGTGAGTTCATCTACGCCTCAGCCGCTTTGAGTTTTCTCTCCCCCTCGATCCGCCTCGCCAAGGAACTCAAGGAAAGCACTGAAAACATCTAAAAAGGTTTAAGATGCACTCGAGTCAAGTGAACAAGAAATCTTAGACTTCTGATTGAATCTCTGCTTGAGGACAGTCATTTTTGACAAAAGATTTAAAAATGGTTGCTTCGACTATGTGTTAGGTTGTTTCCAGATGATTTTTGCTTTAAAAAATGTTGTGTGTTTCTTGAAAAAGATCTGAAGGCCCAAGCACAGGTTCGATGGCTTCGACGGCTTCTCGAAGCCGTCCTTCTTGGTTGCTCGCCTCGTGTAAATACTCAGATCATGTGTTGTATATGTAATATTCAATTGAGCACAAAAACTAAGCACAAAACGTGAACTTTTCCCAGTAATCACGTTCACAATTCAATAAACAATTCATGTGTCTAATTCTGTCTACAATGAATCGACATGTAGAAACGACGGAAATTCATGCAGTGTTTTCGCCACAAACGCACCCCTGACCAAAGGGCTGAAAATTACAGTCCATGTTCCTGCATTCTTGAACATATCACTGCTTTGACCAAGACTACGTCTAGACCTGCCACCTACGGCATACTGTTTCTGGGTCTTTGAGGACAATTGATGGCAGTCTCATCAGACATGGTCTGGCTTTGAAGACTAAGTCCTGGACTGCTTCTTGGAGCTTTAAAATTTTTGCATCACGCTTGGAGATCTCGGTGCAGGAGTCAAAAGCTTATTTGCACCATCTTGGCCAACATCTTAGCCAAAAACGCGCAAAACAAGTGCTGCCAGTACTTGCACAGAAGGCATCAGAAGGCAGGATTGAAATGATTGCAATCTGATTGGGCTGTTTTCAACACTGGCTGATGTCTCCGCCTCATCTCGCCAAGGCTTGTCACCCTTGTTCAGCTGAGCTTTCAAAGCCCGGATCTGTCCATGTAAAAACACCACCGAACTCACCGAACTCACCGAACTCACCGAACTCACCGAACTCACCGAACAGCACAACGGTGATTTACAACCTTGATGAAGTCTGCAACCTTGATTTCTGACCTGAAAGCCACACCCCTTTGGGCCAACCTCGTCGATGTACGGCAGCTTGTCTTTCTCACGTGCTATCTGCTCATCAGGAGTGCTTAACAAACAGGAAAAACTGCTTCATTTCGGACCAAATCTGACAGTATCTGGCACTTAGAAATTCGAAAAAAAATGAAAGTCAATGGATCTGGCCAAAACTCCAGTGCCTTCTCCTTTTCCAGCTGCTCCTACAATTTCAAGGCGCTGTGAACTGCGACTGAACTCATTGCATTTTTGCGCGTTTGCATTTCACAATATGTGATACATTTGCATGCACCAAACATCACGCAGTTGCCGCATCTTGCATCGTTCTCTAATTCTGTTGTTGGCAAAAACAATCAAACTCGTTGGTAGTCTGGGAGTCCGTGAAAACTCTTCAAAGTAAAGTTTCACCATATGTAAAGATGCTAAAGCGGTGACATTTCTATACATACTATATCATCATATATTCACATGCTGTTGCTGCCTGCAACTCTCTTGTAGCGTTGAGAAGCTGCTGATAAGACCTTCCAGCACACCTGAAAGTCAGCCGAGCACGTCTGTCGATCACTATTTCTAGACGAAAAAAAAAGGAACTGCGGTCTTATAAGTCTTAAGTTTGATTCACAAGTGGAATCATTTGAAATCCCTGCCCTGGGGGAAAATGTCAAAAACACAAATAAATATGTTTTTTTTCTCCAGAAGGAGGAAAATCTGGTGCGCTCGAAACATTGCATACTACACAAAGCGTTGGACAGTAATCGCAGTTTAAAAACGTTCGGTTTGTTGCCAATGAATTGAAAATTGCACGGTCACTATCAGGGTAGACCTGAGCATGCCGTTTCCCTCTGGATGTTTCAACGTGTTGTGGTCTTACATGCCCAGATCTATCCAATCTACCGTACTTGCGAATGTATGGACCTTCACTCATGGAAACTGAAATAAGGTTTCCAAACAAACTTATGAAGAGGATCTGCAATCAAGTTTCTGTTCGTGCACTAAATGTGTTTTCAAATGTCCACAACATAAATCAAAAATATTCGAGCCAGCCTCAGTTGAATTGAAAGTTCTTTTTGAACCGCGATGGCTTCCTTCTCCCGATCTTGAAGTTTGGCCTCTGTGCCGGAATACCAAATTCATCACGTGCCACCAAACTGCACTTCTGCCAAGCGCAATCAACTGTAGTTTACAAACGCTTACAATGTTTACAACACAATCTGCCTTCAAGGACTCCTGTTCAATTCGAGTTTTTTGCCTTTCTCTCTCCACATGGTCCTGCAGCTGACAGAATGGATTGAAATTTGATTTCGTGGCTGAATTGTGAACAAACCCACATGCGACATTTGCAGTGTCGTCACCTGACCCGAAACGCAAACGCATCCTTGATGATACCAACTTCATGAATCAAGCCAGCATACCTCAATCACAGTTCAATCTACAAATCTAAGCGATGATGCATTGAAAGACTTCAAGTGGCGTCGAATCTGTGGCACTTCTTGATGTTGCCCTGCTCAGCCCCACCATCAGGACCTCGAATCCGTGTTTCAGCATTGAAACTCACAATTCGGTCCAACACGCGCGACACTCAAATTTCCGCAACATCTCAGGTCACGTCCTTCCTCCAAAGGCATCCCTAATTTGTGCACAATCTCGGCGTTTTCTGCATTAACAAGTTCAATATGATCATTGAAACAAATGTGGGTGTAATAAAATGCCAATTTTTCATGATCAAAACACAATTCTGGAAAAAAAATACGGAAACACCTTTGCAGAGTGCAAACGTAGCGGTTTGAATCATGAAAATTTGGGTTTGCATTTCAATGATAATTTTGCCACGTCTTGAGAGCAAATTTTGCACTGCCAGCATGTTCGAAAAGAAGTCGGCAATGAACGACAAAAAAACAATACACATGCGCAACGGTGTGGCAATTTTTGCACATTGATTCACATTGATGCATTCAAAAACATGGAATCACAGGATTGCTGACACCCCGAACCAAACAACCCCTTAAACAATGCTCAAGTTCGATTCATACGCCGACGCACACAACTGCTGATTTCGAAAAAAAACTGTTTTCATCACGATCAATATTTTTGAATTATATGACAATGTCGTCTACTCTTGTTCAAAGCGCAAGACTACTGTGAAAAAACGATATTTCGAACTACAATGAACCCGGGAGCTCTCAATGAACATGTATTTTCAATTTGCCGCATACTGAAGATCAAACGCAATTGAAATTTATTCAAATTGGTGGGGCGTGATAAATCATGAAACAATATGCAACAATTCCAAGCAATCTTCGCCAGTGCCAAGACAAAAATTGGAAACAAAAAACACATTTCGAGTAAGATTCCCAACAAAAATGGCGCTGCAATTTGAATTTGATGGTTTGGGAATGGTTTTTGAAACAAATTATTCACGCCGCGAAAACAAATCAGACTCAAGGAATATTCAATATGCGATTGCAGCTGGTTGCAGCCGCAAAACTAGTGCTCAAACGTTTCTGTTTGTTTTTACAAGTTTCAAGAACAATTGCCTTGAGTAAAGCCACCGGATTGAGACTCGTGCCATTGATCTTTTCACAAAACAAATGTGTTACGGCCCAAGAACATCTATTGTACACCGTCAACGAGATGGCCGCGCATCAAGTTACACCCCCGTACACCCCAAACAGTTATTCCACATCCAATATGTGCATGTGTTTGTGGTTATACGGGCTCATGGTGTTGGCAATTTTTGACCCATGTCAATTGAGAACAGCATGAATCACATTTTCTCATGGGTCCAGAACTGTTTTGGAAATTGATGTTTTTCCGTGTGTTTTTTTTTGGATCTGTTTTTCTGCCCGTTTGCCTTGTTATTTGCAGAATTTTGGAAGTGGAAATTGACATTTCAACTGTCTTTGCAACATTTTGGAGTTGGAACTCTTCATTTTCCAGAGAATTTGCAACGATTTGGTGGAATTTGTACAATCAATTTTTACCAGATATAATTCAAAATTGATTACTACAGGCTAAATCATCACAGATAGAATGCTGCCATACCTCATTAGACAGATAGAATATTCAACGGAACAAGTAAATCAACAAGCCGTACCTATGTAAAGTGCTTCAAAAAAGCGTGTGTGTGTGTATGTAGCCATATAAAGCCACAATGCCTATGTAAAGTGCTTCCACTGAGGGTACAAATATGTCATGAATGTTGCACCATACCTATATAAAGTGAGGTTGACAATGTAGCAACTGTAACATCATCAAAAGGATGAATTTTCTTTCAGTTCAATTCATTGTCTTTCTGTTTTCCTTTCATGTTCCCAGCCTATGGTTCCAAATGCCTTTCTATTTCCTTGTATTTGTGTTCCTTTCATGTACCTGTCACTTCCTTTCATGTTCATTTCATTTGCCTTTGATCTTTATGTCCTGTCATTTTGGGAAAAAAAAACGAATTTCCACGCATGTTCGTTTCATTTTTTGTTCATGATCTTCCATGCCTGCTTATGTTTCTTTTCAGTTTTTTACTTCTTCCAACATTTTTCTATTTTTTTTTCACGTTACTTTATTTTAATGCATTTCGTTTCCTTCCATTTTCCTTTCATGTGCGTTATTTTCCATGTCCTTCCATTATCTGTTCATATCCTTTCATTGTCCCTCCATGTCATGTCCAAAATTTCATAGATAGAATATTCGGAATGCGTGACCGTGGTCGCCATGGTGGTCACACTTTATATGTGCGAATATTGAAAAAAAATTATACACACATACAAAAACATTTCCTTTCGTGGTCGTGCCATTTCCCTTGCATTTCTGTTCACATTCCTTTGAAGCGTTTTTATTTTCATTTCTGTTCTTGTAAAGTGGGGAGTTGGGAGTGTAGAGTGTTGAGTGTGGAGTGAATAAAACAGGTTGGAATGTCACAAATTGCCACGCCTGCCAGGCAAAACGACATGACAACCTGCTTGGAAACCTTTGAAAAGGAGATGTTTTTGAGCTTCTCCCATAAACACGGCGAGGCCACAGGAAAACCAGAGACTCGAGACGAGACACGTGGGAACAGCAAAACGAGCATTTCATGCGAGACTTCCTCCAAACTCCAATTTTGACATTTTCGACACGGTATAAAACAGGTTGGAATGTCACAAAGTGCCACGCCTGCGAGGCAAACGACATGACAACCTGCTTGGAAACCTTTGAAAAGGAGATGTTTTGCAGCTTCCCCCATAGACACGGCGAGGCCACAGGAAAACCAGGAGACTCGAGACGAGACACGTGGGAACAGCAAAACGAGCATTTCATGCGAGACTTCCTCCAATTTTGACACTTTCGACATGGTATAAAACAGGTTGGAATGTCACAAAGTGCCATGCCTGCCACGCAAAACGACATGACAACCTGCTCGGGAACCTCCAAAAAGGAGAGTTTTTGCAGCTTCCCCCATAGACACGGCGGCGAAACGAAAACCAGAGACTCGAGACGAGACACGTGGGAGCATCAAAACGAACATTTCGTGCGAGACGTCCGCCAATTTTCACAGTTGGAGGCCTACGAAAAGGAGAGGTTATGCAGCTTCCCCCATAGACACGGCGAAGCCAGACGAGACACGTGGGAGCAGCAAAGCGAACATTTCGTGCGAGACGTCCGCCAATTTTCACAGTTGGAAACCTTCGAAAAGGAGATGTTTTGCAGCTTCCCCCATAGACACGGCGAGGCCACAGGAAAACCAGAGACTCTAGACATGTGGGAGCATCAACACAAGCATTTCGTGCGCGACTTCCTCCAATTTTGACACTTTGCAGCCTCAGAATCGACGTTTTCCCACGAGTTTTCTTTAAATTTGCTACCTCAAAATCGATGTTTCGTGCGAGGCTTCCGTCAATTTTCAGCACATCTCACAAACTGCCACGCCTGCCACGGAATTTGCACCTTGTCGCCACTTGACGCAGCCCTGCCAATGCGATTCGCAAAAAAACACGCAACACCACACGTCTAAAGTGCTGCGCCTGCCACGCAAAATGATGCTGGACACGTCCAAAGTGCTGCGCCTGCCACGAAAACTGCAACGCATCTTCTGAAAACGTCGCAATAGTATTGCGCCTGCCACACAAAACAACTTTCGACACGTTACAAAACACGTCTGAATGTCACGAAGTGCCACGCCTGCCACGAAACGAAGCAACGAGACGTTTGAAACCTCCAAAAGTGACCACCTCTGCAGAACTTACCATAGGCACGGCCATATAGCAATCGCGCGGACGGTTGCGGACGGTTGCGAACGGTTGCGGCCACAAACGCAACGTCGAGCGAACACACCCTCAACCCCCAGACCCCCAGAGTGAAACGGGAACCCTTGTTACGCATTCGGGAAAAACAAAAGGAAAGGAGGGAAATTAAATAAGGGGAACGTAAAACAAAAATACCAGTAGTACCGCACAAGGCGGTGGCGGAAGTTTCCAAAATAGGAAACCTATAGGAGAGGTTGGTCGTTGTGAATCAGGGATGGCAGAGCGAATCCACTGATTGACCGAAAGGTGCTTGAGGTCTCCTCTCTTTCTCTCTCTTTCTCTGACTATCTACCTACCTACCTATCTATCTTCTATGTATCTATGTGTCTATGTATCTACGTATCTATGTATCTATCTCTCTATCTATCTATCTATCTATCTATCTATCTATCTATCTATCTATTTCTCTCTCTCTATCTATCTATCTATCTATCTATCTATCGATCTATCTATCTATCTATCTATCTATCTATCTCTCGCTCTATCTATCTATCTATCTATCTGTCTATCTGTCTGTGGTGCAGTGTCATTCAGTGTAATGGAGTGTAGTGTAATGTAGTGTAGTGTAGTGGAGTGTAGTGGAATGTAGTGTAGTGTAGTGTAATGTCGTGTAGTGTAGTGTAATTTAGTGTAGCGGAGTGTAGTGGACTGTAGTTGTGTAGTCGTAGTTGTAGTTGTAGTGTAGTGGAGTGTAGTGTAGTGTAGTGTAATGTAGAGTACTGGAGTGTAGTGCAATTGTGTAGTTGTAGTTGTAGTTGTAGTTCTAGTGTAGTGGAGTGTAGTGTAGTGTAATGTAGTGTAGTGGAGTGTAGTGTAGTGGAGTCTAGTGGAGTGTAGTGGAGTGTAGTGTAGTGTAATGTAGTGAAGTGTAGTGGAAGGTAATGCAGTGTAGTGTAGTGTGGTGTAGTGGAGTGTAGTGTAGTGTAACGTAGTGTAGTGTAATTTAGTGTAGTGGAGTATAGTGGAGTCTAGTGGAGTGTAGTGGAGTGTACTTGTGTAGTTGTAGTTGTAGTGTTGTGGAATGCAGTGTAGTGTCATGTACTGTGGTGTAGTGTAGTGGAGTGTATAGTGTAGTGTAGTGAACCGAAGTGAAGCGACATCTGAACCTCCAAAAGTGGTCCGAACCATTTTGACTTCGAAATGTGCTTCGCGCCACAACGGCGCGCACTTTTTCGACATCTCGACCTCTAAAAGTGGTCCGAATCCCTGGTGTTTTTAACATTTTGACTTGGAAATGTGCTTCGCGCCACAACGCTGTGCACTTTTTCGACATCTCAACTGCCAAAAGTGGTCCGGAGCTGGTGTCTTTTGCACATTTTGACTGGAACCACAACGGCGTGCACTTTTTCGACATTACAAGATGCCACGGCTTGGAC